ACTAGCGTACAGCGGGGCTGAGAGACTACCCGATTGGACAGAAGGCATTGTCGCATTTACTTCCTTAGCTGGCATTTGCCACATTGGTCGCTTTTTTGAAAGGAAATACCTTCTGCACTTCCATTGAAGGCACCAGCATCTGCTTGCCTACTTCAAATTCCATTGGCCAAGCAAGCAACACATTGTCAGTGCCAGTGACAGTACAGCGCCTCTCCGCTGCAAGCAATTTACTGCCTGCATCAATGTACATTTGAGGACTTGCATATTAATACACTTGCACACTTGTCGCCTTATATGCAAAGTTTATGATTAATCTCCTCATGGGAAACGAAAAAGCTGTGTACCTACCCACTTCCCTGCCCACCTACCCAGTTACTTACCTCCTGCCATCAACACATTGTGTTGCATGCAGGTCGCACGAGGTGCACACGCCACGCCAACTTTGCTATCTGTATTCCTTACGACCTCTTTCCTTCCTTTTACCTGCTGGCAAGATTCAGTTGATAAAATAGTCCCATGTAATGCGGTCTCCCTTCCGTTTTCTGTTGTCTGCCTATTCAGCTGCTTTGGAGGGAAGGCGTGTGCATTCTGGATACACGCAAACACACACACGCACAGAGGAGAATAAATGATTCGAGACGGAACAGGACAGGAGAGGTACAGTCAAATGTCATAATAAAGTGGAGGAATTGACTTTTGCCCTGTCTTCCGACTTTACAGTTCACTGAATAAGAGTTTTGCTGCCAGCGTCAAGGATGTGTGCCACGTGACCTTCACCACTATATAGTGGTTGGATTTTCGTCAAATTCTTTCTTCCGCAGTAAATCATGGAAGGTAAACCTTAAACTCAGAGTAATAGCGTCCTGTGCCACTGACTTTTGCCAGAATTTTTGCTAGATTAGAGGGATTTATGCTGCCTTTCGTGGATCGCATTTTGATGGTGAAGAAGTGCACCCTGACTGCAAACGCATGGACTTTGATGGGTTGGTCATACACCCTTTTCTTACCTAGTAATCTTAAAATGTTTTTTAGCCCCTAAAAGGAACTAAGATTAAAATGATCTGTTTTAGTTTTAACTCAAGAAAGTAGGGGAAAAAGCAAGTGGAAAACAGAGTAATCAAGCTACCTCTGCGAGTTAAAAATGGCCGTGGGTAAAATATACAAGCCTTCCTCTTTAGGGCAGAAGCCCGACTTTTGCTCCACCTCGGTGATAAATAACTCTGGCTAATAGTCGGAGAGGGATATTCTAAAACAATGGTAGTAGATGATTGGAAAAGGGAGAGGAAAGACTTGTCTACTTCGCCGTGTAATTTACAGAGGGTAGAAGGAAAGGGCGCTTCTTTTCGGTTACTTTAAAGCCTTTAGTGTCAGCGAAGCATTAAAGTGTGTCAGCCTTCCCCCATCCCATCCCTCATCACCCCACACACAAACCCCATCCCAGGTCATGTCAGTTCTGACAAGGTTGCCAACCTGAGGTAGTGGCTCATCCGAATTGTGGAGCAATGCCTTGACGCCTACAGTATCCGGGTGGGGAGAGAGATGAAGGGTGGGGCAGGTCATTAAAATAGAGACACGTGTCACATCCATTGACAGGTGACAATGTGTTGCCCAAGGCAATCACAGTGTTTTGAGGTTTGCTTCTTTCAGGTCAGAAAAATGGACAGCTGAGTGATTAGCTGTCTGACAGACCAATTGACCGACCAACCGTTCAGTAGATGGAATTCTGATGAGAAGTGGATTTTATAGGAGAAAAAACATGTCTTTAGTTATTCCTCTAACAATCCACTCACCACTACCCCACCTCACAATTCTAAGGTATCCATCACTTCTCCCCCATAAGACGTACAACATTTCTTGTCGCATTGCCTGACAGTTAAGTACAGATGAGGTCTGCAGCCTTCGAGGTAATTCAATACCTACCGAAGGCAAAATATCGCCTTCTCTGGGTTACAGCTAAAGAGTCCCAAACAGTGGAGGCGAGGGGGGGAAGAGGGAATGAGAGTAAGGGATGATACTCCCGCCTTCTTATCCACCTTGGTGACAAGGAAGAATCCAATGATCACATGACAACGAAAGCGAAGGGTTAGAAAAGATGCAGTTTCTTTTTCCCATCAATTGGAGGTAAATCGCTTTATCATCGGGAGAGGAGGGGCAATCACAGTGCAGTTCATGTCTCAAGAGAGGATAAGAAAAAGGTGATCCACTGTAGGAGGTTTCCAGTCACCTAGACCCTCTGCCAACTGGCGACGGTACGAGATAGCTCAGAGAGGTTACCAATTGACCGACCGATAAAGACCAAAAAGTAGGGCTCAGTCAGTTTATCCGTAGCCGATCGCGCTTGTCCAACAGTACAACCGTGTTCTATTACAGTGGGGATTTATTCTGTTGATAGCTTTCTCTCTTTTTTTCCACATATTGTTAGTCTTCGAAAGTCGTTGTCACAGAGGCACACCGAGGCCACCGTACCAAGAGGTTTGACCACTTGACACCTTCAGTATGGGCATACCAAGGGGCTGGACGACTGGGTGATAGGTGAGAGGTGATGATGCAAAAGTCGATGCAAGGAGAGAGGCTGATTAAGTCCTCTTCCCAGAACAGAGTCCAAAGAAGTTCAGCAATTAGGAATGAGGGGAAAAATAGCACGGCAAAGTGATTTTTCCAATCTTATGCTGAATCGCAGTATAAAAGGGAGTGGGGTAGTAGGTTAGTAGGTCGGTGGCCCAACAGGTCCCCAAGATGGTGGACAAAATTCCTCGACTAGCAGATACCTACCTGTACCTAGACGGAGGACTTCCAGCTCACCTCGTCGGCAGCAGTACATCTACTTGAATGGCTTCAGCTTCCTCTCAAAGACGCCCGTACCTACTCGTATATGCAATTCCATTCCTACCTCATGCCATATACTCAGACCCACAACCTATGAGGACGAATGCTTCTACGGTGATTTAAAAAGTGGAAAATTATGGAAATCCGCAATTTCCAGACATCAAACTTCCACACTTATCCAAGTAAAATAAGCATTTTAGCTCTTTAAAACTTCAGTCATTGTGCCGCCTTTGCGCTCCTGATTAATGGACTTAACACCGCAGCACCATCAATTCCGAAGACGTGTTCTTCTTCCCACTGCTTTTTCACCCTCTCCTGGAAGTAGTGGTTATTTTGACTCTGTGCCTTCCCTTTTTTAAGCCCCTCCATAATCACGGCCTAGACGCCACTGTTTTACAAGTCTGCACAGCTTAAGTGTGTATTTTTTCACCCCGACACCGCCAAGATGCTGGCAATTTCACTTAGATCTAGAAGAGCCATCTTGGCCTTTTTTCTCCGCCAACACGAACGCCCAGTCTCTACCCATTCAAGGTCACGCCTTGGCTGATTTCCTTCCCACATTCGCCTAATTTTAACTCCTGATACAGCCTCTACTCAAAGGCGAGATTCAGCTAAGCACGTGGGGTAATTAAAGAGAGAAGGAAGTTTAGAAGGCTGCTTGATTAAAGATATGATCGGGTAACTAGGCGCGATTTTGACTCATGGGATCCAGATCATCCCTAAAACCTGCTTCAAATCCACCTACAAAGATGTGAAGATTGTGTGGTACCCAAGGATGCCTCTGTAAATACTCCGGCGTAGAAGAGAAGGGTAAGGAGAGGAAGCTACAAGGAGGTTTCAACAAATCGACCTTATTTTATCCAGAGTATTGAAGGAGCTTTTATATTTTAGCCTAACACATAAGATTTATGACTGTCTTTCAAATTCGTAAATCTTTCCACCTTCTGGCATGATTGTTGTGTCCCTGTCTATCCCACAATTTTTTTCCAATTTTTCCCACCTCTGTGTCGTGACGGTCGACGCGGACGAGTACCAATGCGGAACTGCGGGGTGACTTGCAAAACAAACTGGCAAGTTATACTACCTGACATGACACTCCCTTTTTTTCCACCTGCACATTTGATCGACTGATGAATTCGGTAGATGTAACTGAGACGATTGACTTGGAGAGGCGTCGTAGTTGGGACGGAAGCGATGTATTTACGGATTGTTTACTAGCAATAGACCGTCTGCCTACCACTGCCTATTGTCGAGAAGCAGAGTGGAGAGTGAGAACGACAAATCAAACACTCTTTTTTGGTTACAATAGGTGGATGTTCGATGAAATGTATGCCAATTTACCCCGGAAATACTTTGGGTGCATACTACTGATATTTTACTAGTAACAGTTTACTTTCATGTGGCAATGCGCCCCATCGTTTGTTGACAATTTATTTGGAAAAGTGCAGAAGACGAAGGTGAGAAGGAGCTAGGCTTTCCTTCTCCTCATCCAAGAACGTTGATTTAAGGTCTAAAAGTACGACTTGTCTCGCAACAATAGCACTATCTTTGTGTGGACAAGGGGCGGAGGTTATTCCTACCACGTCAATTTCTGAGCCAAGCAATCAAGGACAGAGCATACATGTCACATTGTTCAAGCCACCTTCTAGATGATACAATATGTAACCGCAACTGCTCGAAGTACTATGCCACGAATCTGGCAGGAGCATCCACGGGATGCATTTTTGGCCACCGGATTCCTGTCTGACACTTGTCAAGCCTCCCAACTCTAGGCATTAGAGACCACTCTGCGTCAGAATGGTATGAAGTTCTTGTACAATCAGTCTTGTCTCGCTTCAGTCATCAGAGAATAGACCTACCAAGAAAAGTCGGCTCACTCATTATGTACCCTCTCATCTACTTGGCCATCCACAGCAGGAGCCTTCCACCGACGGTAACCAGCCAATCCATTCAGGCATTAGACCTCTTCACAGCGTCAAAGGATAAATGCACCACTCGAGCTATCTTTGAGGAGGTCATAAGAATCATTCGTGTGAAAGTAATTTTACTGACATACAGAAGGTATGAAAAAAATACTGGTATAGTTGACATGGATAGAGCTTCACACCGCCAGCTCGCATCCCCTACTGCTGTACATGTATCAATCCAACATCACTCAACAGGGAGTAGGAGATTTAGGATTGGAACCACCTGTTTATGACAAATGAAGACGGTTGTGAGGGCTTTAACTCTGTCTTTTCCTCCATTTCTTTCGTCTTCTGTCTAGTCTGCTCCGCCTCCACCGCATCCTCTTTATCTTCCTTGGCTGGTTGCAAATCCTCCCTAACTTGTGCTTGATCGATCAGCCGAGAGATCTCTTCTGATGGCCGTTTTCCGTCTTTAAAAATGTCTGGAAACTCGAATTCATAGCCTAGTGCCTAAATAAAAGGATTAATTTAACCTAAGGCTTCCTATTAGCGGTGCTTTTGCTTAGTACTTATTTGCGAATGAGGTTGATGGGTGAAGACCGACAAAAAAATCATTCTTTAACTTAAAAGCAAGATTTTCAGGCAAATTAGCTGCTGATAAAAATCAGTGAGGCGAATTTATCAATGCCAAATAATATGTCTAGCTGACAAGGGCTTACCAGATGAACGTAGGCGACCTTCTCGTAACGCTCCGGTTCACGTGGAAGGAGATGTGGGAATGCCGCGCCAACTGCACGTCTTGGATCCTCGACTGTGTCCAGTGGATGCACTAAGGAAAGACACCAATTTCTAGTGAGAAAATATATCTAGGCAACTGCTTGTCACATCTGTAAGAAATGAGGATACGCTGTGTAAATTTTGCAGCCATAAACACTCCAGAGTGGCCAGTTTTGGGCTTGAGGCTGGCTATGTAAAACCGATCTCCACCTCCACGCAAGTAGTCTACTCAATGGACGAGTACGATCAGCTCCTCTGTGACATACTCAAATGATATTCTCAAAAATCCGTCCCGGCATTCTTTCTCTGCTCATTCTTATCGCGACAGTGGCCAATTGAACATTTAGAGGCCATTATTTTGTCCTATTCGAATTAGCCCATTCACTCACAGACGACACTCGTCGAGGCAACAAAGATGGCATTGAAAGGAAGCAAGCCGCTTATTTAACTATGGCTTAACTCCCATGCACAAACACTTGAACTGCAAGAATCATCTTCAACTTAGACAGGAGTAGGCACAAAACACAGACATGACCAATAACCACCTATTCTCCCTCTCCTCCCCTATCATGAGTGATAAAATGCAGAACAACTTTTCAAATATTGCTCTAATTGTAACTAAATGCTGTTTAAATAGTTTTTGCACAATTCTAAAGATGAAAGAAGACTCACAGTCGTGGTAGAGCATTTTCAGCTGGACACCGATAACGGGAACTTTGTAAATCTTTTCTAGGTACTGTTTTACATCATACTTTGTCATTCTAAAGTAAAATAGCAATTTCTGTAGGTTGTCGAAGTGATTAACACACAAGATGAACGCAGAATCAATTGAGGCAATTAACAAAGCAAACTAGCGTAAAAGGTAGTTCAATTTTGCTTTGACCGCTTACTGAGGATGAACCTTGAAAACAACCAATCGCTTGGGGCATTTCTCCCCAGGGTAGAGCATTTTCATCCAAAATGGAGGAAGAAACATTCTTAATTGAGGATCACCGGGAGTAAATTTGGGGTACACAACGTGTCGATTCCAAAGTGGTCTGAATATTTGAGAAAAGTAAACAAAAAACAGCAGTCAAAATACAACATGTAGCATAATGTTCTGGTTGGAATAGCGACAGCCATTAAAATAGGTTTAGGGGCAATATTTAGGAGCGTAGAAGGAAACCAGCTTACACATAGTGTTTCGTTTTTGGAATGGCGATCGGGTTGAAGTAGATGACCGGCCGCATATCCTAATACTAGGAACACCAGTATACAGAGCTAGTAATAAATTGACCACTGCGGAGCTGAATGCCTATGTACCTAGGTATCTATAATCAGGAAGACAAATAGATGAATGCATAGAAACCTACTTCCAGTTAGACCAGGAATAGCACCCCTTAAAGTACCGACGAGAGAAAAAGTGCCAGCGCCAAGATTAGCTATCACGTTTGTGAGGAAGTTGTTTAAAAACTACTCATAGTATACAAAAATGACCCACCGACTGCACAACGCGTGCAACGTAGCAGCCCGAAAGTTCAGAAAGCGAACAGGTGTTAGTATTGGTTAAAACAAAGTGTAGGGCAAAACCGGACTGTGTAGTCTTATTCTCTTGTTTTTGCATGATTAGCATAACGTAAAAGTTACTATTTTAAAGTTTTTCATGATTTTACCACTCAAGTTATTCACAATCACATTTTTTGGTGATGCATGCCCTTAATACCTAAGGAATATGCGCATGCGTAGAAGTGGTTTCTTGTACTAAGCTGTGTAGTAAACTAAATCCAGACCTTATAAAACACCACTGTACTGCATTTGTCCATATAAATTTGGAGAAATACAAGGAAGAATTCTGAGTTACCTGGTTGCACATTACACGAGACGCTTGTCTTCTGTATCCAACAATCAAGCTTAGAAAACTTAGAGAAGAACCCAAAATTATGTAGACAGAAGAAGACTTACATTTTAATTCGCTTGGCGCATAAAACACTTTTATTTATGCGTTCTTTACGTGACATTGTTGGAGCCCATGATTCATTGCCCAAGGCGGCGTATACCCTCCCAGTGTATAAGATTTTTTACCATAGGTGTAATGCCTATAATGTTTAATATACCTTTCAGGTAGTTGGCAATCTGGAAATTCGAATCTGGTGAGAGGGACGTCGCCTAGTTTTGATTGCTGTTCTTCCCCTCACTGAAAATTGCACCATTCTTCCCGATCTTTCTCCCTTAATAAAGATGTCAAAACCAAATCAACCGGGCTGTTCTAGAGGCACTAGGAAAAGGGTGGAGGCGACCGCTGAGTCTCACCCTACATAGGGTTAGGAAGAATTTACAGACTGTGGTATCATCCGAAGAGTAACAAAAGAGAAGGCTTGTGCGGTTGGAATTGCAGTAGGAAATGCAGAGTACACCATGTTAGCCCATGTGTTGTTTATTTGCCTTGCGATTAGGAAGGTCCACAAAATTTTGAAAACTTTTATAGGTAGCATTATTACGAGAACTTTGATAAAATTTTCATATATATATATATATATATATATATATATATATATATATATACTAT